AAAAAAAAAAAAAAAACAAAAAACAAAAAAAAAACCCTCCAAAAAACAAAAACTAAGGCTCAGAGAGACCAGACTTGCACAAAATAGCTTGGAATACAAATCAGATTAAGGAGGCCAGAGATCTAGCTCAGTGGCACCACACCTGCCTTGTAAGCACAAGATCCTGAGTTCAATCCCCGGTGCCCACCCCAAAATCAGATTAAGTATAAAGAACAAAATATGGGCGAGGGGGCTGGAGATTTAGCTCAGTGGTTCCACCACCTGCCTGGCAAGTACAAGGTCATGAGTTCAATCCCCAGTACCAAAAAATAAAAATAAAAAAGGGCCAGGGATTTAACTCAGTGGTGCCACACCTGTCTGGCAAGAGCAAGGTCCTGAGTTCAATCCCTGGTACCAAAAAAAAAAGATAATAGGAAATAGCTAGATCTTTTGCAATAGAAGATCAAGAGATGGAGCAGAGAAGGAGAGATCTAAAAAAATATTACATATTCCCACAATGAATGTAATCATTACATACTGCAAACATATGCTAATAAAAATCTAAAAAACAAAACAAAAAACCCAGTTTAGGGAGATTCCCTGGACAAATTTTGGACTTTTTGAGCATTAGATAGTAATAAGCTACTTAACAAAATAATGAATTATAATTTACTTAATAAGAATCCATACAGATACTAATCACTGGAGAATAAGGGAAAGCTCTTAATATAGAAAGAAGAATTACAGCTGGGCCTGGTGGCGCACGCCTGTAATCCCAGCACTTGGGAGGTTGAGGCAGGAGGATCACTGCAGTTCAAGACCAGCCTGGGCTACACAGTGAGTTCCAGGTCAGTCTCAAAAAACAAAAAACAAACAAACAAACAAACAAAAAGAATTACAAAATCATTTGATGATCATCATAGAAATAATTGATTCAGGCTGGGTACAGTGGTATATGCCCATAATCCTAGCACTCTGGGAGACTGAGGCAGCAGGATCACTGTGAGTTTGAGACCAGCCTGAGATACATAGTGAGACCCAGTCTCAAAAAAACAAAACAAACAACAACAACAAAAAAATCAAGCCCTACTGGGGATTTAGCTCTGGTTCTGCTGCCTGCCCTTGCAAGTGCAAAGTCCTGAGTTCTATCCCTGGTACGAAGGAAAAAAAAAAAAAAAAAAAATTCAAGCCCAACCTGGGGAACTTAGTGAGACCGAATCTCAAACAATAAAAACATGGGTTGGGGATGTAGTTCACTGCAAAGGGCCTGGGTTCAATCCCCAGTACCAATCATCACCATCATCTGATTCAGGAAAGTATCATCAATGCATATAAAAGTTGAATAAAAGATATTAGGGGTTTTTGTTTTTCAGTGTAGTTCAAGCTGGCCTTGAACTCTCTGAAGTCCTTCTGTCTCAGCCTCTTAAGCACTGGGATTACAGGCATGTGTTCATACCTGGCTGAGTTTTTGTAGTTTTGTTTTTTTTTTTTTTTGGTTTTTTT